CAATTATTAAAATGGTCATTAAGATCATTGTTGTGACTCCGGTGGAAACACCTGCCCCAGTCTGGCTGCCCGGCCCTTCGATCCGTTCTCTCTCTACCTCCATGACTGGGAACTGTGGGGAACCAGCAGCTTAAGGACAGGACCACATCAGCAGGTTGCTGGTTCAGCACCCAGAAAGGAGTCCGCTGTCGATACATCTGTCACATTTCTTCTACCATTTCTGCAGTAGCACGGGACTGATGTGGTGACCCAGGAGATCAGGGGACGCTGAAGCTCACCTTGGACAAAAACAGACAGCTGTAGCCGTGGGAGAAAGTAAGGGATTATGTACAAATAGCATCTGCTCCCCAAAACATCTGTGTGCCAAGAAGAGTGGTGCCCTCTGGTGTCATGAATGATATACACATCAAGAGGCCTACAAATTTGTGTTCATATAGACTCATAGCTCCCCCTGTAGGGTTAGTGTTGCTATTAGAGTTAGGCTTTAAGGTTGGGGTTAGAGTTAGGTCTAGCACTAGGTGTATGGCTTGGATTTCCTTTCCTGAGGGTCTCTCAGCACTTACGCAGAACACCATGCTGAAGTTCATGCTGATGTTCTTGCGCTCCTCTTAGGCCTGATCTCACCCGGCTTTGTCGGCTCCCTAGGCAGCGATTAGTCCCTCCCTGGTGTCTGCCACCAGATGCACTCCAGCGTTAAGTGGCATGAATCCCCGAGCTGTTAGGAGACTGTAAGAACTATTTCGGCGTCTTACCAACCAGAGTGCCAACCAGGGTTCATGCATCGTTCTTTTATTTATAGCTGTGGATGGGATAGAGTCATTTCTTTGAATCATATATTATTCTGTGAGGAAATTAGCCATATTAGTTATCATTTTGTCCCCATTTTACTGAGACTTTTTATGGTCTTCAGAATGGATATTTACGAGGGAGACAAAAGACAGTGTGACACTGCACCAGTTGGGGTGGCAAGATTGCCGTTACACTGCGCTATTACACTGCGCTCTTACACTGCGCTATTACACTGCGCTCTTAGGGACAGCAATGATCTATAGTACAAATGTTCCCGTGCCTCGTAATGGACTCTGAAAACTCTCGTTAAAGAGAAGGAACCATGTCACCAGAACCTAGTTTTGTTTAGAAGGGGGCATTTCTCCTTGATTCGACACTAATTAACTACTTAAAACACCACATCACAAAATTACAGACAGCATGACAAATCACGCCATTAAAGTAGAATGAAATCCTGGTAAAGCAGGGAATGAAATTATTTTGAGCAGCAAAGACCTCACAGTGTCCTGCTGCAGCAGGTGGTCGAGGCCCTGAGCCAGACAGAGACCCCCCCCCCACGGCACCTCCACGTGCTACACAGCCGCCAGATGTGTCGGCCGGCAGCTGCGGATGCCGTGGGCTGTTACGTCATGGGAACGGCCATCTCAGCTGGCGCCAATCCCACGCAGCTGCACAGAGGCATCAACACAAGTGCTGCACACTGATAGGATGCTTTTACCTAGACCCTGTGGCCAATCACGTGTGTTAAAAGACCCCCCAGCGCCCACAAAGCACAACGCAGGATTCCCCCAGATCCCCCAAGGAGGCCCGAAGACACACAAACCTCAGTGTCAGACAAACTGCCATATGGGATCACGTTACTGATGAAGCCTCACATGGAGATGTCCTGCAGATAAACCTGGAAGCTTCTCATGTTTAAACCATGTGAAGCAGAAGGAGAATTCTGTTGTGTTCAGCAAGATTGAGAGACGTAACAGGTGTTTGTTCAGGCTGCCACCGGCATTCACCCAAGCTGTACATCACTTCACATAGAAGCGCCTCAGTATGCCTAACCCTAACCCTAACCCTAAGCCTAAACCTAATGGAATCCCACACCAAAAACTAGAGCAACCGTCTAAACCAAACCACCCCCTGCTGGCGGGAATAGCCCAGGGTTCCAGGTCCTTAGACAAAACTCCACTCCTGGATGCTTCCACCTGCCTTCATCTCCCAGTTTCTCCAGCACAGCCATCACTTTCCAGCCTCCCCACCCAGCTACCACCCAGCCGACAGCTTTATAATTCTTCTGGAGCTTAAGGCTAATGCCTTTGTATTTATATTTTAACAGTGAAATTTTCAATTATCCATGACTATATCCTGGCAGGCAGCCATCCTACCCTACAAGGAGTCCCCCCCCCCCCCACTAGCACCACAACATTGCACACACTGGGTACAGGCAAAGTGCAATCTCATAGCTCAGACAGTGGTGATGCACTGCCCCCTACCTGTGGGCTGCCTCAATTGCATATCATCTTCATCATCACAGCTTTTAAATAACTTGTAACTGATGGTTATCAGTTTGTCTACATGAACAATGACTCTTCCAAGCCCACCAAAGTCAAATATAGTGTCCCACAGGGATCAGAGCTGGGCCCGCTACTGTTCATTTTACATATGCTACCACTTGTTAACATTATTAGAGATCATGGTGCAGGGTTTCATTGTTATGCTGATGACACACAGTTTGACAGCCTCAACCGTGGTGGTCTTCCTACTCAGCTTAACACAGTTGTCAGGGATCTTGGTGTCCCGGTTGATTCAGATCTATGTTTCTATGCTCACATATGAAGTATTACTAGAATTCTTTTCTACCATCTATGGAACATAAGCTTCGGAAGATGCTCTCCTTTCATGATGGAGAAAAACTACATGCCTTTATATCTTCCAGACTGGACTACTGTAGTGCCCTCCTTTCTGTTTGCGCATCGGGATCCTTACATGAACATCAGCTAGTACAAAACGCAGCCGCCAGAGTTCTTACAAACACTAAAAAAAATTGATCATATTAGCCCTGTTCTATGGTCCCTTCACTGGCTTCCAATTAAGTCTTGGATTAACTACAAAATACTGCTGTTAATTTATAAAGCACCGAATGGCCTTGCACCAGAATACCTTAGAGATCTACTGGTCTCTCACAGCCCTCCTCACTTGCTTCAAATTCAAGGAGCAGGATATCTATTAGTACCCAGGGCAGAAAGAATTATGGCAGGCTGCAGGGCGCATTCTCCTATAGAGCTTTGCAGCTGTGCAAGTCTTCCAGCGGATGTGCGAGATTCAGGCTCACTCTCAATATACAAGCCTAGACTAAAAACACACATAATCAGTCGGTGCCATTGGCTTTGGATGAACTGAACTGTCAGTGTTGTCACTCTATCTTCACCCCCCCCCTTGTTGAATTGGAGTGCTGACATTTCAGGGACTCCCCATGCCTGTGTTCCCATCTGCCTCTCCCTCCTACTTACGCTGCCATAGCCACGTCTGCTGGAGCTTACATACTGCACTCACCTAACTGTTTACGCTGCCTCTAGTCTCCCCTACTTTAGCTAATTTAGCACATTTTATTCCCCAACCCCTCCTGGGTTGTGCTGCCTAGAGACCCAAAAATATCAAGATATTCCACCTATCTTAATGCCCGCAACATCCCCCCCCCCTTCCGCCTGTGACATTCCTCCTGTCTGCCCTGCTGCTGTACCACTGTTCATCCTCTAACTCATTTCAAAACCCATCTTATTTTAATGAACTGCCTCACCAGTGCCACCATGTGGGGACAGGAAAAAGGAAGAACTCACTTTGCTGTCTAGCAGCTAATTTCCTTGTGACAATGTTCTACATGTAAACACTTACGTAGAATTGCAGTAGAGACCTTTTAAAGCTATTCACCAAGCTGGATTATCAGGTTTAGAACCTTGCTTGCAGCTTCAACCGGAAGCCATCAGTCTGCCTATCTAAATGGGGACCATCCATTAATTTCGACTCCGACACTCTAATTCCAATCACAACACCCTTAACCTCTACCCATCCCTATCCTTAACCATAAGTGACCAACTCAAATACAAGAGTTTTGGCATTTTTACTTTTTTGATTGCATTCAGAATTTTATAAAAACTGAGGTTATCCACATGGGTCCTCAAAAGATGTCCCTAAAAATTTCAGGTTTTAATACACTTTGGGGACAATTTGGTCCTCAAATGTGATCTATGCAACACACACACACACACATGAATGCAGATGAGGGCTCCCCAAATGGTTAACAGAATTCCCTGCTGAAACCCACCTTAAACAGCTAATTACCAGGTTTAATGGGTGTGTTTGAACAGTCAAATCTGCTGTGTTGGATTCTGGCCCTCCAGAACATGATCTGGGAATCTTGATCTAAGGTTACTAGGGAAGGGGGGGGGTACCCAAAATGATTATGTCCCTTAAAAATCTTAGGCAAAGAAAATGTTTAAATGACATACATATTGGTTTTGTGTTAGCTTAGCCATTTCAAGATCTCTAAGGTCACCCTACTATTTGTCTAGTTTTTAACTTAATTGAGTTGGTGGTGAAATGTATTAAATACATGTAATGGTTGGGGTGTCCCTGAGGGAGGGGGTGTGCTAGTGAGCCAACAAGCCAATTGTTTTTCTGAGCTAACACTTCAAACCTAGATACATAGATTTCCACTGACTGGCTAAGACTTGCCCAATACTGTACAAACCACAAGTCAGGCATCCATGGACTGCAAAGCCAGCCTGCAGGACAAAGGCATCCTGATCTAACTGAACACATGCACAACGCAGGTGAAACACCAAAAAAACTACATACACTTAACTGTGATTTTACATCATGACTGCAGTTCCAATGTGAGATAAGTTAGTGATCTCAGCCTTTTCATGAACTCTACTGGCAATCAGATGTTACCTGTTCGTACAAAGAACCCTGATAAATGAAGTCTTCGGGACCTCAAAGACATTTGCATTCTCATCAGCTGTCAGCTACGGCCAAAGACGGACAGAGGAACCAGCTGAAAGCAAACGATAAGGTTTCAGTAACAGCAGATGCACAAATAAAGAACTGAGAGAAGGAATCCGAGTAACTCCAGCAACGCGCGCCTGGCCAGAGGAGCAGGACAGCCTGGGCGCTTCGGCGGCAGGACATCGGCGAGCAAGCAGAGGACCACTCCGCAAACATGTGGAATCAAAGCACTTTATTTGGCCAGCATCTACACGACTTAGAAAAAGAAGCCGAGGATTTTCCCTCCTGTGTGCTTCCGCCTGGCTTCTTCGTGGTCCATGATGCCAGCCGAGGTCGTCAGCACAATGTACCTGTTGGGAGACAGGCGAAGCATTGGCTCTTTACGGTAAATGCAATGAAAGATGGACCAGGTAGCTTGGGGCCAAGCATGACAAATACTGGAACAGTTACGGTAATACCACATTATACTGAGTACAGGAGCCCATAAAATTTTTATAGCAATGTTGTGTGTGAATTCAGAAAAATGCAGTCTTCACGGCAAGCATCACCACACACCTCCATGAAGAACACTTCATCTTGTACAGATGTCAAACATAGCAAATATGTTTCAGTTTATAAAGATGTACCCGAATGCACATCTGCTCTCTGACTCACAAAGGAAACATTTCCAATCCCTATAAGCCAGTGCTGCCTGTACTCCTGATTGTAACTGGTTGCCTTCTGTGAATTTTAACCATCCCCATGACAAATTATTTGCGGTGTACCGGGGCTGCCTCCCTGTTTTCCCATAAATCACTGCTGCTGTGGGAGAGCTATCTAGCTGATATCAGACACTAAATGGGAGCTGGAGACAACCACCACTCACGGCCCTTATGCCGGGACAAAAGAAAAAGGTATGGATTCCTACAGGCTGAACATGACAAATAAATCTCAGGCTACCACTTAAGAGGAAACACAGGAAAATGAATCAGGAGGTGTGCAGCATCGATACACTGATAGTGAAGGAAAACAACGTCTCCCACAGCAGGACATCAGTAGGCAACATGGTCTACAGTCAAACATAAAGGAGCCGTTCCAGGTTAAAGCCCAATAAACAGAACATTTGGGAGCAGCATCACACTAAAGGAAATTAACATAATACAAAATTCCACCAACGCCAGCACTGTAGTTCCAACACAGTGATTACACTAGAGGCACAAACTGAGTACTGTTGAAAGACCCAAGGCAAATGTTTGGAAATGTAATATTGACTGAAGCAGCCCTGAAAAGTGGTTTTAATGAGTGTTTAGCATTAGAGTGCTAAACAGGTGTGATTAAACGAATACAAAAAATAAGGGAACTTTGCTTTGAACTGTGAAGAAGTCCAGCGTAGCACTGTACCCTCCAAAGACATCACCTGTGCTGACGATGCACAAAGGGTTTCAGCAGAGCTGCCATAATGGGGTCGAACTATCAACCAGGAGCAAACAGGGAGATTCGTGTGAATGAAACCGCTTCCGGTCCAGCCTGGGAGCGACACTTGTGAGCACAGTGGCGTCACTTGCCAGCCCCTTTAAAACGTGACACAGGCACACAGCTTTGAGCAACACGCTGGCACTGTCTCAGTGACAGACCCTTCATCAGGCTGGACTAATCACTATACAAAACACTGATTTCTTGGTTTACCAAGCCTGGGACTTATGGAACTTTTCAGGTTCTCACCTCTCTCTGAACCATGCAGTACAGAACAGCATTATTTTAAAAACCCAACTATCACACTAACAGGGATGTGCACGTATGGCCCCAGAAGGTCATGAGTTTGAATCCCATGCCCCGCTGGTGGACACTAGAGCAAGACCCTTAGCCCCAAATGCTCCAAAGTCTGCTCTCATCCAAATACACACATGTACTGGCCTCCCTAATGGTACACATATAAAGGTATCTTTATAGCCCATGATAACCGAGCCGGGCTACTTTGACAGCATCCCCAAATGAGACCGCATCAGCAGAATGAGCGCTACTGTAACCCATTGTGGGGACCATGAGCACACACTCACCCGAACTGTCTGGAGGGCAACAGGTTGTTCTGCCACTTCTCAAGGTCTTTAAGCTGGACATCAAAGCGTGGGCTGATGACCCCACACTGCGGGAGAGAGGAGAGCGTCACGGGAGACCCACCATGCACCCCGGACCACTGGCTGTGCGTGCAGTGAGACAGCCCCCTTACCTTATTTAGTCTGCCTGTGAGATTCACAACTATTTTGCCAGCCCTGTGATCGTCGATAATCTCAAACTCGCCGATGTAGCCTGGGGAAGCAAATCAGGGAGAAGTGTCAGCCTGGACCCACGTGTCACTCTGCACGGGACAACTAGGTGGGACACCCTGAGCACGCCGTGCAGCGGGGAGGGCAGCATCTCCTGGAGGAGCACTCACCGTGCTTCATCATGACGGTCAGGAAGCGGACGATGACCTTGGAGCAGGGCCGGATCAGGACCTGGCGCTTGCCGCGTTTCTCTGCATTGTTGATGCTTTTCAGCGCGTCGGCGAGGACGTTCATGCGCACCATGGTGCCTGTGGGGGAGCCGGAGAGGATGCCCGTGAGCCTACGGGCGGCGCCGGGCGAGGCATGTCCCGAACACGAAGGAAGCCTACATGCACACAGACTGCTGCTCGAAACGGGGCCCTGGACTCTCCATCCCTCTAGGTTTATCAATACCGACATTTTAACCACCATGTGTCTTAAACACCTGGGAGAAAAGAACCCAGTACACTAACGGCTCAGCCGGTAAGAACAAACTGAGAACTAGCAGCAAACGAACTAACCAGCAGCCAGCTAACTAACCAGCTCTGTCATTAGCGAGCACTTCACCCGAGCCAGTCTTCGGAAACAAACTGTGGCGGCACAAAGTGAGGAAACATGCCCATTATTTAAGCAGGAAAAGGCGGACATCGTGCTCCCTGCAGCCTGGCATCCCTGTCCCAAACCCCGGCTAGCGGTCGGCTAGCGAGTTGCTCTATGCTTACTCCTGACCAACAGGCCCACATGAATCACGACGGATTTCGGGTCGGACTGAACCAACCGTGTCCTTTTCATGAAAACCGTTGATTATTTTAGCAGCAACAGCTTGTTGTATCACGACTACACGTATCAATGTGTCCAGCACACAGGAACCAGGTACCCGGGCGATGACAAATTCAGCAAACAATTACATATAAAGAGCATATCGACCGGCACCAAAACTAAACCACCACGTAACCATTAAATTCATCTTGTAATTATTTGTAAATGGCGACCCGCTAATACTGGGATGACACTGATACTAAGGAGATTGAAAATGATATATCAAATTGGCCATCCTTACCAGATCTGTAATATGGCGGAAAGAGGAGGAAGATCCGTCGCGTGGTGCATTATGGGAAACCCCGTTCCCGCGAGGTGAGCTCTCGCGAGATGTTGTCAGACTTGAAACTACTCTGATAGAAATGACAGCTCATTGACTGTAAATAACTGCGCATGGGATTTTTAAACCACAAATACCTTTTTGTAAAATAATGCAATCCTAGGTGGGGGATAGGTGATTTAGTGTCGGTGGTGACGTGAGCTCTCCTCTCTCCGACACTCTCCGAAATCCCTACATAAGAACTGCAGGGGAAATAATTGAACAAATATTTACCCTAAACAAGATTAGATCTAGGGCTGTCAACAGTCATTTACAAAAACACAAAACCCACATCGGACTATATTCCATTTTTGTGTATCCCTGTGAAGTGGATTGAATGTGGAACTTTAGCTTTTTATATAAGCTGTATATTACTAAAAATTCTTTTTTAATTTTTTTGCACCATGTGAACACTAGATGCCACTGTAGATCAATATAATTTCCTGTGAGAAGCAGCCTTCTCTCTATGCATATGGGTTTTCCTGTGACTCTCCACAAGCCTCACGATTCGATTCGACTACGATCCACGGGGCAATGACTCAATTATAAAGCAATGCTAGTTGCATTAAGATGCAGCTCATCCATTATTTATTCCACAAGTAATCAGATACATTACCCAGATAGCAAAATCTTTCTGGCCCGGATGTGGCCCACATCACACATTTTCATCTGGTCCACATACCACATGGAATGATGGCGATTGAGTCGACCGCTCTTTCTTTCCGCATCAGGTTGACACATCTGGCTCTGTTTGAGATCTGGCCATATTATGGCCCATTACCAGTTTCTGAACCTCACAGATGTTAACCTCGTAAGAGCTACTTTTCAACAGGAACTGCATACAGTCCCTGATCAGGCTTCAGATGTGTTTAAAAACAACAAAAGTGCAATGTCTTCAAGGATTTTGGAATTTGAGAAAAAAAAAACAAAACAACATCCACAGACATCTGGTGCTGGGTGGGTACTGTCCTCTTGAGGTGGAGGCAGCCTTTACATTTATGGCATTTAACAGACACTCATATCCACAGCAACTTCCATTTTCAACTTTGGATTAAGGGTCTTGCTTGGGGAGCCAATGCTTATATAGGTGGGACTCAAACCCACAACCTCTTGGTTCAGAGACAAGCATCCTACCCACTAGACCACCAACACACCCTGCTTTTCATGCACCTACCACTAGGAAAGTGTTTTGCTGGAAGTAGCCCCATTCCCAGCTGCATAAAGTGTAAATACTTTACCAGTATTGAGATGCATCAAAAATCATTGTGCAGTTCAAATATTGACAGACCAATTGAATTAAAACAAAAAACCACCCTTCCTTATAGATTCCATTACAATCATTTTATTGGTCCTATTACAATTTATTTGATGCAGTGAGCAACCACGGAAAAACAATGTTAGCTGCGTGTTGGCCCTAAAATAATGCAGCTAGTACTACAATGAAACATATTAGTTCATTATAATGTTGTATAAGTGTTTAATAATGCATTTAAATAATGTAATGTGCTCTGTCTCTGTCCAAATAGCACACTCGTTACATCTAGAAAACATTTCTTTTTCCATAAGCACAAGTGTACATTTGCCATACCTTTGCCAGAAGTGGGCCAGAGCCATATAACTATTTTTTTTAATAAAGTATTTAACATGTGGCCCATATGTGTTTTGTGACATTTGGGCCACATTTGTCTAATCACAAGTGGGCCACTTTTGGCATACACCCATTTGCCAGTGCCGGAACCAGGCCAGCAGTGCCACACATTTGCCAGAAGTGGCCCAGAACGTAAATTAATACATTACATTTATTACTAATGTATCTTTGACTTAAATTTGTGTGTTAGGTTAAATTTAAAACGCAGGAGCTCGAACTTCCCAAGATACAGCGCAGCTCAGTCGCTCCTCTTGGCACTTGCAGACTCCTGCTGCAAAAGCACGTTTTAGCGCAGTGCTGTAGCTAGGTTTTTGGGGAACCTAACATGTGTCCTGGGTGATCCGATTACAAATGGACAGCGCTAAATACAGATGTGGACGCTCCCAAAAGGCACTGAGGATGCATTGAGATCGGATCGCTCAGATCGCATTCGGGACGCATATGGGCAAATTGTTATAACAGTGTGAAGTGAATGTGTCCTGGGCCACATTGAAGAACCACCTACTCAGCTGAATATACGTTTATTTTTTGTTAAGCAGATTAGTAATATGACTAAAAGATTAACGAGATGCATTTTGTGACACCCAAAACTTAGTAATCTGTATAAATTTGGCGTGTCTTTATGTTTATTAAATTTGGTTATCAGAGCACACCACGTAATACTGTTGTGGTATCACATGGTTTGGTATACTTTAGTGCGATATGCACCACATAATATTGTTTTGGTATACTATAGTTTGGTATATGTCAGTGCCATGTGCACTGTAGCGGGGCACACCACATAATACTGTTCTGGTATACTATGGTTTGGTATATGTCAGTGCGATATGCACCGTAGCGGGGCACACCACATAATACTGTTCTGGTATACCTGGATATAACGTTAAACTGCATCCTGCCCTGCAAGTGGTTCTCCAACTTGCAGGGGGAAAAAATTTGGGTATTGGTAGCAGGATTGGCACTCTAGCCACCGTAAAACAACTCACAACAGCTCAAAATAAACAGCCACAATACCCTTCTGCTCTCCATGGGAGTAGTTTTGCTGCAGCCCACCACAGGAAGGCGCCATGGTGCCAGGTTCCTTGACTTTGTGAAAGGTCAGGGGCTGCGGGTAGCTGGATCCTGGTTCCAATGCCCTGAGCCGCTTTGTTGGTCTTGGTACAACAGTACTGGAGGTGCAGCGAAGGAGTTCGATCGCATCCTTGTGGGCAGATGCTGGAGGCTCCTGCAGAACTGCATGGTCTACAGAAGTGCCCAGTTTATGAATTCTGACCACAGACTTGTTGTTGCTACTCTGAAGATTCAGCTTAGACCCAGTAGGCTACCACCTATTAAGAGAATGAGGCTGGATTTGGCCAGACTCCAAGATCAAGCTGTTTCTGATGAGTTTGCACACAGTTTTTGTGAGGAACTTGCAGACTTGGGCGCGACTGCTGACTCTAATGTGATGTGGGAGACCTTCTGTGATAAGACCCTGAAGGTTGCCGAGGGCAGTGTTGGTGTTGCCAATGTTCCCAGAAGGAGGTGTTTCATCTCGCAGGGCACCCTGGATATTAGCGAGAGGAGTCGCTCTGGACTGTGGTCTAGTGACCCACGTCCTGCTTACAGAGGAATCAAAGCATTACGCACATCTGAATCTGTTCCTCTGAGACTTACAGTCAGGGTGGGTGATGGAACGGTCCTTACAGATGACACTGCAGTTGTGAACCCGCTGGGCCGGCTACTTTGAGCAGTTGCTTAAAGCTGACCCTCCAGCTAGGACGCTGGACATCTCTGGGTCCACGGTTCTCGAAGCTGATCCTCCAATCAGCTGGGGGAAGGCCACAGGGATTTGTGGTATCCAGGGTGAACTTCTCCAGGCAGGTGGTAAAGCTGTCCTCCTGGCATGTGGCAGGCGTCATCCCAACTGACTGGAAAGCAGGACTTGTAGTCCCTATCTGGAAAGGGAAGGGTGATCGCCTGGATTCTGGCAACTACAGGGGGATAACACTGCGTTCAGTGCCGGTTAAGGTCCTTGCTAGGATCATCCTTGACAGGATCCGTGATCACTTGCTCGCCTATCAGCGACCGGAGCAGTCTGGTTTTACACCTAAGAAGTCCTGTGGGACATCCCGAAGTTGCTGGACATCATGGCCGGCCTGTACACGGGTACTGTGAGTGTTGTGTAGAGAGGAGGGAGAACCTCCGTGTTCTTCCCAGTTGATTCTGGGGTTCGCCAGGGGTGTGCTCTTGCTCCTACTCTGTTCAATGCTTGTATGGACTGGGTGCTGGGCAGGGTAGTGGGGTCCGGCATCGGTGGGGCGTCCATTGGTGAAGAAAGATTTACTGATCTTGACTTCGCTGACGATGCTGTGATCTTAACGGAGTCAATGGAGGCTCTGATCAGGCTCTCGAGAGACTGAGCGAGGAGTCTGAGTGTCTGGGATCGCAGGTGTCCTGGATTAAGACCAAGATCCAGGCATTTAATGACTTCTTAGGCACAGCCATCAGTAGTGTGTCTGTCTGCGGGGAGAATGTCGACCTTGTCAAGAGATTTACCTCGGCAGCGACATTCATGTCTCTGGTGACTCTTCCTATGAAGTCAGCAGACAGATTGGGAGAGTATGGGAGGTCATGAGGTCGCTGGGTAGGGGTGTGTGACGTTCCCGATATCTTTGCCAGGGGTCAAAGGTCCAAGTCTTTAGAGTCCTGGTGCTCCCTGATTTGCTGTATGGCTGTGAGACATGGACGCTATCCAGTGAGCTGAGACGAAGACTGGACTCCTTCGGTACTGTGTCTCTTCGGAGAATCCTTGAGAACCGCTGGTTTGACTTTGTGTCGAAGGAGCAGTTGCTAGAGGAGTCCCGAATGAGGCACATTATTTGCACTGAGGGAGCGTCTGTTGTGGCACTATGGCCATGTGACACGTTTCCCTGAGGGTGATCCGGCTCGCAGGATCCTCATTGCTGAGGACCCAAGCAGCTGGACCAGGCCGAGGGGATGCCGCATAACACCTGGCTGTGGCAGATGAATGGCCATTTTCGGTGTGGGACTGGACCACGTGTCTGTCTGGGGCAGGGGTACACCAACTCCGGTCCCGGAGGGCTACTATCCAGTAAGTTTTCTATCCTACCTGGCTTCTGATGAGCCACACTAGTTCTCAGGTAAATACCAGGAGCAGGTGTGGCTCATCAGAAGCCAAGTGGGATAGAAAACCTACTGGATAGTAGCCCTCCAGGACCGGAGTTGGTGACCCCTGGTCTGGGGGGTTGTCAGCTGGGATCCCAAGGAGTTTTGCCGTGTGGTGGGTGCAGCAACACGCTGCATCAGCACGTGCTCCCCAACATGACCTAACCTGACTAATCTGCTTAACAAATTGTGGGTGAAAATAAATGTCCGAAAAGCTGGCGTCCGGCCAAATGTTTCGCCTGTCATCTTAAGTCCTGGTGATTATTCCGGATGAGCGATATAATATTGCTATGATATCGCCCACCCCTAGCCTATGTACGCACACATTAAATGTACAAACGGTATTTGACATATGATTTGTCAGAACGTATGTCAGTACTGAGTGGTCCACTGTGCATTAAACTACATTGTAAACAACGCATGTTTTTCCCTAACCAAAAAATAAGTTTGAATCTGCTGGAAATTGGTTTAATATTGGGCTATTGCGCCTGATCAACTCAACAAAGCTTGAGATTACCATCATCATACATGCTGCACAGTTCAACCGTCACAAAAATCTCACTCTCTCCTTTATTAAAACCACAAACGGTATTTAATGAAATATTGAGCAGGTGTATTCTACAAGGCAGCTATATGAAATGTAAACTAGATATTCTGTAACCATGATTACAGTGCTGACAAACTGGCACCCATGTCAGTTTCATGGATGCTGGTCTTCATGGACTGCGCAGCTCTATGTGACCTCACATCAACACACCAACTCTGACTTCCTTTCAAATCAAATTTTAATTTATGACACAGCCAAGAATACACATAAGATGGGAACACTCTGTTGCTTAGTATAACCAAGGAAGAGGACAGGCTTATTTACAGAAATCACCCAGAAGAGGGCTGAATCCAGACTGTCAGCAGGTGAGAACAGATACAGCAGTAGATTCTTATAACTTACACTCCAGCCTGCTGAGGACCTGCAGGTTGTTCATCTAATGAAACAAAGAGATTCCATGGTTTCAGTGCACATTAAAAATATGGAGGGGAAAGAGGGGTGAGCTTGAATATAAAAAGGACTTTCAATTCACGGCATTAACATATAAAAACGGGAGATTCACACTGAAGGTAACGTTTGCTCAGAGGGGTACACGGTGACCGACCGCTCGGTGACCATGGCAGCAAAATGTCAACCGCAGGAGCCGGGCAAAGGCATTGAGCCCTTTGTGACTGGAGGGTTCATGGACAGACACGTCACTGCAGCGAAAGGGGGGGGGGGGGTTAAAAGGGTGGCATTTCAACTGTGCTTGTGAGCTGGATTAAAACTGAGATGGACTGTGTGTGTGTGTGTGTATGTGTGCGTTTGTGTGTGCATGTGTTTTCCACTCGTCTTGCCATCCCCTCTGCTCCCTTTCACTCGTTCTTCTTCTCCTTCTGCTTGAGCAGCTTGTTGATCTCGCGCCGGGCCATGCCCATGTACTTGGAGATGATGCCGTGCCGGTTGAGGCCGGGCAGGAGCAGGAGGAAAGTCACTGTGAAGAGAGACACGTCAGTCAGTCTCGCTGACGGCTGTGCGTCAGCATGAGCAGAGCGGCCTGCACTCAGAAGGCTCTTTCTCTGCAGTTCGAATTACATTCTTACATTTTATTTATTTCGCTTTTCCCCCCAAAATGGCATTTTAGAGGAAGCTGGCTCAGCCAGTACCTGAAGCAAAGGGTCACGGGCCCAAACGCTAAAACGGCTGCCAAACCTGGGATTTGAACCGGTGACCTTTCTAACACAGACACAGTACCCTAAACCACTGAGGCACAAACCACTTCTTTACATACAAGCAAGAAGTTCATGTTTGATATCACTGTATAAACGCCATACACAAGGTACACACAGAAATCCTGAAGTTACATTTAATACCTTTAATACTTTCTCAATACTTTTTAAAACCAACACAACACTGAGATGCAATTGTTTTAAAATCGGAAACTTTTCTAACTTTTACCATGATGTATGCTACACACTCTTGGCCAATACAACAGAATTTAAATAGGGAACTTGGGTCAACAGAATAGATTTAGAGACCGATTTTAAACACATCTTGCATTTAACTTCTTGATTAAAAAATAATTATATAAAATGTTCAACAAAAGGATAGAAGTTCCAACAAACTGGCATTCCCTACATGAACTGGTGATAACATTACAACCAGTGAAAGGACTCGAACCTGTTATAGCAATGCAATATCAAGGCAAGTGCCTTAATCTGATGATGTACCCGGCTTTGTCTTTACCACATGTGAATGACTTAGTGATGTCAGAGTCGGGAAACATCTCTTTAAACAGCTCTCCAATTCCTTTGTTACAGTCCGAGTGGTGTATAACACCACAACAGAAACTCGGAGCGCAGCGTTGGTGTAGCCGTAACGTTGGTATAGCTGGATGACACAGAACCGTCATATTTCTATCACTATTTCCATAGCAATTTCTACAGTGTAATGTTTGACAGGTGCTCGTTTAATGACATCATCTCATTACAACCTCGTATTTGAACCTCGCATGCCTGCTCATGTTCATGCGCAACATTACACTTCCCGGTAAATTTTATGACGGTGCCCGATTTGTGGATTCTTTGTGTTCTCTGTCTGTTTAATAAAAGTTCTGCATAGTGCCTGCACTTCTGTCTGAGTGCGTGTTTATGGGTCTTGTTACGGTGGGATGACTGCACATGTCCCTGATGGCCGCCACTATTATGGTGCAGCAAAGTCAGTATGTTATGCCAATAGGACAAAGAACAATAGTAATGTGTGTTATTTTGTCCATTTCTTCTCTGGATCCCACCGGTTTGGAGTGATATAAATAGACGCGCATAACTGGTACACAAGTACGCATTCGCCGTAAGACATAAGCCGTAAGACAGTGAGATAACCCTGTGACAGAGTCGTCCCGATAGGTGCTGCAGGGACAGAAAACTGCACCAGTGCTTCTCCCTCCCCCATCTCCACAGGAAATGTTCTGGTCTCAGATCTCCATGCTTCCCAGGAAGCTTGTCCTCAGAAATGGCCATTCACAGTTGCCTGTCCTTCCCTAATACCCCTCCTGACAACATAATCAGGTTGAGATCTACAGAGTGCTCCTAAATTCAGCGCACCCGATTGCCTCAGTCAGCTGCTAGCAGCTCCCGTGACCACATCACTTCCTGCAGAACTTCACACCCCTCACCAGTAATACTGGCACAGCACTGCAAATTTCACTCATTATGTTGCCTTCATAACTTCTATTCTGTATATGGCTTGAGGTTTTCCTCAGGGGAATGCTTTGAGCGTGCCAGTTCATTCGGGAAATGCTCATCTTGAAAACTGTTCAAATGATGATATTCCTTTACTGACTGTGCTGCCAAAGCAGGGAACACTAACACCTGGGATGGAAGCCAGCGTGTGAGCAGAGCTGCACAGGGGTCACAGTAAGAAGCAGGCAGAGCCACATCTACATACCGACAAGGTAGGTCAGGAACAGGTTGTGTACTTGCTGGCCAAGCCACGCCACCATCACAAGAGTGCTGATCACAGACATGAAGTACTGGGGAAAGAGAGAAACACCACAGGGGAAATCTCAATACCAGTCCAAGGCTGGTCCAAGGCCCCCCGCCCCAGAGAACACATTACATCAGGGGTGGCGAACCTGATCCATGGAGGGCCGGTGTGGGTGCAGGTTTTTGGGATGACCTCACCATCAGCCAATAACAGTGGGTCTCCGGGACTGGAGTTGAGAATCACTGCTTTATTACTGGCTGATGGAGAGGTCATCCCAAAAACCCACACCGGCCTCCATGGAACAGGTTCCCCACCCCTGCATTACATGTCAATACCAGTATTTTGTGTCTTGCAGAACGAGCAAGAAAACACTGCACATGTACTGGTCCTTTGGACCTGTAAATAGTACAATGTGCCAGCTTTGAGTCCACAGCCCTGACACCAGACTGCCGACGTCTGTGGGCTCCGTTTGGCTTCTGGTCATGTGTCTAGTGTGGCCCAGCCAAGTCTTTATTCCAAAGCAGATCTGCACCCGGCAGGCTAGAAAAACGCAGGCCGATATGACGTACCACTTTGGGTTTCTCGTCCTTCAGGCCCAGAAGGCGTTTCCACCAGCCCTGCACACTGTGTCGGCTCATCACCAGGTTCCTGCAGATCTCATGAAAGCGCTGCTGCTGCTCGGTGGTCCTGTAGGTGGCGCCGGTGAACAGAAGAGTCCAGTAAATGGGAGGCGTCATGGCTCCGGTCCATTAAAAACATCACACGCCAAGAAATGTGTTCAAGTGTCAATGCTTTGCGTACCAAAATGCACATTAATGTACACAAACGAACCAGTCTTAGACACCCTGCTTAACATCTAAAACAGGATCCTCTTACTGCGGTTTTCACAGGCTGTTGCTAGAACATTCCACAGCATCTTATGATCTGCAGACAAAGCTTCATTCAGGCAACACTGTCAAATCTACATCAGGGACGCAGTATTACATTCATGTCGCCATTTTGGAAGTTTCTGGCCTTGTCTGTATACGGGTGTGCGCACACGTCTAAGGCTGATGGTCGCCACTTCTTTTTTTTTTTTTAAATATAAGAAACGGAAGTGATTAAAATTACGACACAAGCAACTGAAACCGAGAACCAAGAAAGTCTCACAGTGAGCAATGGATCATGTTTTCATAACTAGACGGAGGATTTGAGGTGTACACTCAAACCTACAAGGCAAAGCAACAATCTGCCATGACAGGAAACAGGTTGGATATGCTCGACCTTAACCTGAAAAACGGGCTTCTGAAGATACCTCTGAGGGACAGACTCAGCTGCATAAGTCCCACTTCTAGTAGCCAATCAAGGTTTTTATTCGAATATGAGCAGTGCAAGGCAAACGGCACGAAACCCAGATATGGAAGCATGCCCCAACACATTTAGGAATGCAACGCCCAAGTTATGCACATGGGTATGATCTAGATCTTCTGGAGGACCGAGCATTTTCAGTGCTGCTAGTCCTGAGTTGGGATTAGCAACTGTGAGCACCAATCAGAGCTGTGCTGCGCGGGAGGGAGCTCAATTCTTGCCAATGCAGCAGATTTTATTTACAGATCTAAAAATGCAAGTGGCTATGGATCAAAGACTCATTGCTGAGCGCTCAGAAATAACCCCCAGATCTGGCCCCTCCCTCACCCCCAGTCAGCTGCTCAGTCCAGAGGACACGACTGGACATTACACAGCAACTGTGGCTTGTCACACAACACTGCCGCAGGAGAACACTGAAACACCCTGTAAAGGTCAAGTCTGGCCTGCCAGCGAAAGAACGGCTAGCTCACACCCTAACAGTGTGTGTGTGCGCAGGCGCGTGTGTCGAAACCCCATTAACTTACCATTTGTTGGAGCCAAAGACTCTGGGGGCCAGGGTGGGCACCAGGTAATCAGCCAGGCACAAAATCATCACAGCACAGGACACTCCAGTTAGCACAGATGGGTCCAGGAAGTAGACCAGCCTGCACAGACAGTTGCCAGACATTAGTGCAAACTCAAAAAGCACAGTAGACATTTAACCAACAGAGCACCCCCATATTTTCACAGGGCTTACAAAAATTAAGGCAAAAATCTACCAAGAGACAAAGGATGACTCATAGACACACCTGCAAACCTGTTTGGCCAACAAAACACGACTGAACCTTGACCTAAAACAAGCAGGTGCCAAACTGATTCCAGCTATGTCAGGGTCTACCCTGAAGAGCATTGCTTTACAGTGAAAGTGACAGTCCATTCATAATCTGGAGGTACAGCCAGCCTGGGGCCCATCATTACATAAGATAGGAACAGACTGAGTGCCATTAAAAGAAGAACATCAAAAACTGAAGATTTGACCACCTATGACAAGCCTGTGACAATGAGCAACACAGGATCTAGGGAGACAGTGCCAAGGTCACCTGAAAACACCATTTTATACAGGTGCTTTTGTTTAAAATGAATGGTGTAGACCAGTGTTTCCCAACCCAGTCCTTGGGGAACCCCGGACAGTCCGTGTTTTTGCCTCCTCTCAGCCCCCTACGCACCTGTACCGAGTATTCGGTGTTCCTGATTGGCTGAGGACTGAGAGGGAGCAAAAACGTGGACTGTCCAGGGTTCCCCCCGAGGACTGGGTTGGGAAACACTGGTGTAGATAATCTGCATACATATCAGCATTTTCAGTTATGCACAACAGTGTGAAGTAAATACTCACAAGAAGAGCACAGTGGTGACAGCCACGAGGGCACCAGGGAACCAGGGCTTCTCCCAGCGCAGAACCTGGTCACTGGCCAGGATGACCTCACCCCAGCCCTGCAGCTGCTCCTCCAGCTGCGACGTCTCGTGGGCCTGTTTGACGGCACACAGGACATCACCGTCACACAACACCGCCACCTCTCCATCCTACCTGCATTCTAGCCAAGTGCACAACCCTCCCCCACCCAAAATGCAGATACCATGTTTGTGTAATATAATGGGGGCGGATCGACAGCAATGCACCAGAGGGCACACTGTTGACGGGGATGTCTACTGCAGACTGAAAGATGACAGTGCAGGAAGCAACACAAAGACGGCAGTCTGCTTTTAATAGGTCGTTATATATAGATTCCTGTGGTCTCTTACAATCCTAAAAGCACCCACAGAACGGGCTGCGTGAACAGTTCTGTCCAACGGGTTCACAAACAACCAGACACTAATCAATGGCTTCTTAAGCCCGCTATAAGCAAACAGATTAGAGGTAGGCGACATCAGTAGAGAATGGATGAGTAGAGGCAGGTTAAGGCATAAACTAACTGGTTAACACTTACTGCGTCACCACGAAGAGTACACAGTCAGGGATGAAAGAGAGGACAGAGGCCAAGGGGAAGGGGTGCGACTTAACGGTTTGTCAAAGCTTTCAGAAAGCACGTTAGAGAGCTAACTGGACACGCAAGTAGTTAACTAGTAAATAAAGAGCCGCACAAGATTTTTGCCAACAGAAACGACAGGTGCAGAAATGTCAGCCCTCCGCAGAAGCAGGCCAATATACTGATATAGAATACAAGCTACACGACGAAACATTTACAAACATTTAAAATACGTATATTATTTTAAATTTCGTTCTATAAATGTCTTGCATCTCTCTTATTTGTATTCTTGAAACACACCCGACCGGCTGAAACCTTGCAGGTTATACACATTCCAAGCTAACGTTAGCCAGCTAGCCACCCTCCCTTAATAAACAGGCACCACCGGGCATACGTACAATAAGGTTTGCGCTCTTGTTGTCGCCTTCTGCCATACTCGAGCTTTGACAAGAACAACTTTTGCGGAAACGTTCGTCAGCGCCTTATATATCGTCAGCAAGAAGCTGCTCAGAAGAGAAAAAAGCCAGACAGCTACTCGCAAGCCCACACCTATCCAAAACGGACTTCCAACAGTCTGGGTTGTTTTCACGCAGGCGCAGTCCGACTGTGTGGAAACCTGGGAAGTGGAGTCTATTAAAAGAAACCGTGTTGACGAATAAAAGCATGCAAAAGCGTCGAATATAAACAATTCACATGTTCTCATATTCGTGAGATGTCGAATACTTCATCGTAGCAGTGTCAGTGGAAGTAATCATGTAATCATGTGATGAAATCATTGATTTTCCTCTCCCTTACCCTCCAGCGAAAACACAGTGAAACAGGACTTGCGCAACCCTCGGGAATCTTCTTCCACATCCGATTGGCTGGCTCGATTAAAAACAACGTTTGCTTTTCACCAATTGAAAAAGGTATATGATGACGTCTGAACAATTTATTGTCCTTGTAAAATTGATTAGGAAATAGGTGTTTCTAAATTCCAAATATCGTAATCTTCAGTATTGATATTGTTACAAATATATTATTTTAAACTTAGTGTTCATCGTGTTCATTTTTCGATATTGATTTATATTGCACGAAAACGATGTCCATCTCAATGCAGTGATATTACTGGTTGAGTGCTGGACTTAAAAAAAAAAACAAAAAAAAAAACACTCTGGTAACAATATAGCTTGAAGATTCTACATGAAGACAGCACTCCTACATACAACGCTGGTCGTGGGTGTTCTGGGGCCCTAGGCGAGATTCTGCCCCGTCCACCATCCATAACAGCAGAATTTATATTTTCGTAGCTAGCTAGCTCCCGTCTGTTTCACAAGAAAAGTAGTGAAATATTAAACCGAGTGTAAACAGTCACGGAATGCAACCAGAGGTATTTCTTCTAATTTTTTTTCTTTTGCGCCCTTTAATCAAATGGCGTCCTACGTGATCCAAGTAACTTATCAGTTAACAGTTATCAGTTAATAACAGCTGGCCATTTCACTATATCAAGTCAGGTAAAAATAAACGAGCCTTTAGCAGAGGCAAAATGCAATTTAACATTTCAAGTTTCAAAACTCCACCCACTCCCCCCAACCGCACTCCCACCTTGATGTAATGAAGGCACACATTTCAGACCGTTTTAAATCCCAATTTATTAGGCAAACAAAACTGAATAAAATCTTTAAGAAACAAACTGCACCATGACCAAACACTTACTAATCATTTAGCACATTTCCCCCACTAAAATGTAAAAGTAGTAAAACAAGCAACAGGGGATTAGCTTAGGAATGGTACATTTTCACTGTAACGGCAAAGGATCAAATCCAGTCTTTCAAAGAAGCAGAAGGGAGGAAAATGTCTTGAATATATTAACAGATCAAATGCAAAGGGGAAAACAAGTTTCAAAAATCCAATTGAGTCAAGGCGTCTTACATATTGTTCAAAACACTTAAGTCTTCCTCACTTTTGTCTTCAAATTATCCTCAAATCAAACCAAAAATGAAACTGGACATGTTGACTTGCAGCAGTGTCAAAAGCCAAAAAAAGAGAGTGAAATGCTCAAAGACTCATCTCCTTGGCATTTTATTTTTAAGTGAAATTTCTGCACGATACACATCTTTTTTTTTTTATTTAGTGGTGTGTAAAATAAGGGTTTATTCATCTGCGATAACATCTTAGCAAAAGGAAAAAAAAAAAGTCTTGATTACACCGTTAATTAAAAGAGCTCCAGTCTGCGCCAGGCCCGTCGGACTGAATGTAGCCCACGGAACTCCCCCCCCCCGTCCTCCCGAGAGACGCCCTCCGATCCCAACGACTTGCGTGCCGGCGTCGCCGACGGGAGAAGCAAAATCAGGCTGGTTGCTTGACCGGGGGCCGCTGCCTCTCGCTCTCTGCTGAGATGCAGTCCGCGAGAGAGCTGGTGTCAGCCCTCTGCCCTGGAGGTGCAGTCTGTCAAGCGGGGCCCTGCAGCCAAGTCCCCGTGTGTGTCGGTTTGTTTACTGTTGTTTTGTTACAAGGGTGGGGGGTGGCTCAAGCTTGCCACCTTATTACCCCCCTTAACCACCTCGGTCAGCCCCCCACACACCCTAAGGAGACAGACGCAGACCCCATTTGGAGGTGTTAGCAGGGTCGCCGGGGGCAGCCGTGCTCCGGGGGTCCGGGGTGGACCCTGGGGAGGATCTGTGGATCCCCCCCGCCTTCCCCCCTCCCCCACGGGGCTCTGTGACTCCTCCGCCCCAGACCCGGTGGGTCTTGGTGGATCTCTACCCTCGCTGGACCAAACAGATCTCACGGCGTCCCGTTCACACCCACGCAGTCCAGCCCTCATACAGCTGAGCCAGGTTATCTACATTCGTGGCCTCCTTGATCACGTAATCCACCTGGACGGGAGCCGAGGGGACAGGAAACAGTGGTCAGGCGCATGCACACAGGTTCATCACGCTGACAAATCGCAGGTCCCGAAAGTGCACACTCTAGAAAATTCATTCCGCGTTAGTAATCACTGTGACTCATTTACATGCAGCGGCTCGCCCACAACTCAGATTTCATAATCAGAATATTTTTATTATACCGGAGGAAAATTCTTACAGCCAGTGACAATGTTGAACAGTCCCTTTCAAGAGAGACCCTGAAACAATAATTTAGGAGGGACTGGGCAGCCATTTGACCCTCCCCCCCCCACCCACTTAAGAATTTTTGGTTCCTCTGCTCCATTGCCCTCTGGCTTTGTTTAATACAACAATGGATTGCCATTCACCCTTGTCAATCATACTGGAGTAACTGAAATTCCTATATTTTACCGTATTTTGCATATATTGCCTATTGTGTACTGCTGTTTGGTCCCTTATTCGCACTGCTGTTAGTCCTATTAACCCCCTCCCCCCCATTCATCTGTCCCTTACCATACAACTGTGAAGTATTTTACTATGTTCCTCAGAACACATGACTAAGACTTGACACTGAAACCATGGGGCCTGGTCCTGCACAGCGCTCCAGCACACACAGGTCACCGTGATGACGGCAGAATACGACACCTGCTCTGTGACCGTCATCCTCCTGTTGGGGTCCACGTCTCTCCCCTCCAGCTTGGCCTTGACTCGCTTCCAGACACTGACGGCATACGAGTTCCTCTCCTGGACAGCTGCGGCATCACAAAAACACCAGCAGCTCGTCATGCCGCTTTAAGCCGGCACAAGCACCCCTGACTGGAGAAGCCCTCGCCTCCATTAACAGCTGCCTGTCCTGCTGCCGGTGGTAGAAGATGGACTGAGGGTCTACATACCTCTGCCTGTTCTGGGGTCACGCACGGCCCGCTTGGGGCTCGGAACCAGGCCCTTGGTGGTGAGCGCCAGAGTGCTGGGAGGGGTGTCTGCGGGGGTTCCTGGGTTCCGGGGGAGGGGTGCACTCTTGCGTGTGTTCTGGGACATGCTGTCGGGCTGTGTCCTGGGGCCAGTGCAACGCACCGCTGAAGGGACGCAAAAAGAGATTGTTACTCCTGCTCACTAACAAAAGGATAAGTCCTGATTGGTCAGGCAGCCAAGACTTGAACCGTCTTGCTGCTGCCACCAAGTGGCGCAAACCAAAATTGCATACCGGTGAAAGTGGCCTAACGTGCTTTGCAAAGGAAGTGGTCTTACCAGCAGCAAAGCTCGTCTGAACAGTCGATATCGGACTTGCGCAGTCACTGGCTCTCTCGGTCACCAAGGGGGAGGCAAAACTCACCAGCCCATTATAGATGCTAAAGGTCAGGGAGAAGGAAAGCGATGCACAGCTTACCACAGACATAGGGTACGCAGCCCTAACAGCGCAGCCCTAACAGCGCAGCCCTAACAGCGCAGCCCTAACAGCGCAGCCCTAACAGCGCAGCCCTAACAGCGCAGCCCTAACAGCGCAGCAGCTCGCCAACGCACCTCTGGCTCTGTGCCTGCAGCTCCCGCAGTGTCCCGGGCACCTCCTGCAGCAGCTCTGCCGACTCCTGGCTGCGCGGCGACCCTGTGGCCTGCACTACGGTGAACAGCGCCGTCTGCATGTTGTCTTGCCAAGCTTTGTACTCGCACAGGAACTGGCGCACGCTGTTCTCGTACGGCACATCCTCGCCATCAGACAACGCGTTCTCCTCATCCTGCGGAGCGGAGGACAATGGAGCGGCTGATGGACGGACCTAATCTTGGCAAGTGTTGAGACTAGAGGCTACAGGCTGAGGGGTTAAAGGCTACAGGCTGAGGGGTTAAAGGCTACAGGCTGAGGGGTTAAAGGCTACAGGCTGAGGGGTTAAAGGCTACAGGCTGAGGGTCTCCAGCAGCAGTTTCTAGCATCAGGGCACCTGAGGGCCCAGGGGTCTCACCTTGGCCATGGCTCGCAGAAGGTGCTTCACGTCGGCCAGCTGCCGGTTGTGGGTGGACAGGATGCCTTTGATTGCATCCACCAGCACCTGCAGGGTCTCCGTTGCCACCTCCAGCTGCTGCTCCTGCTCGTCCTGAGCGGCACGCCGGTTCGACATCTCCTGGCTCAGGTGCTTTCCGGCGCACGCCAGCCATTCGGGGCAGCCGATAGGGAGCTCCAGGGTGGGGCTCTGCAGACACGCGGGGTGGGGGAAGAGATCAGCAAGTAATGTGCCGCTCAGGGCAGCAGGGGGCGCTAGCGGGCCATTCAGAAGACTCACCAGCCTGTGGAGGAGCTGCAGTTCCAGTGGGGAGACAGAGGTGCTGAACTGTGCTGCATATGAACAGGTGGCCTGACAGCGCTTGAGCAGGTCGAAGAAGGCGGCGTCCATGTTGAGCGTCTCCTGCGTCCGCGTGCGCAGCCCCTCGAAGTTGAGCACGGTGCTGCACAGGAAGGTCACCTGACTGGCTCGCTGGCTCTCCTTCAGCACCAGCGCCCGGCGCTCCGCGATGCTCGCCTCGAAGTCCTGCAGCACGGGGGCCAGCGCCGGATTGGCTCCGCCGGCCCACTTCAGCCGCTGCTCAATACTGCCCTCTAGTGATGCTAGCTTCTCCTGCCAATGCACAGGAAACAGGACAGTTCACCACTGGTGCGCTGGAGAGATGTTCCCTGGTTCCCTCAAACGGCAGCGGACGACGCCGACGCAGACCTGCACGCTGGCGATGGACGCCTCATCCTGCCGGAGTTTGTACAGCTTCTTCTTCATGTTGCTGAGGATGATGGACCGTGGTGGAGGGCTCACGCTCATTGGCTGGTTCCTGGCACCCAACACATCTTCATGCTGCCACTGTTGTTGGGTCACAAGTGGGAAAGCGCAGAGGGTCATAGGTCAAAAGTCAGAGCGCCCCGTGTCGCCCCGACATCAAAGCCGGCCATCACGGACACAGGGCTCCATCTCAGCGCTAATCAGAGAGAGTCAGAGCCACCACAAACGTCATGAGGGGTAACCTCCAAATTAGCACGAACGTAGATGGAGTCAAATAAACTCCCATAATCCTTTGCTGTGATTGCGGAGGCGGGTCTCACCTGGAACACGGCGATGTGGAGCTGGACCCGCTGCAGGCTCACCTTGGAGGCCTCCATGCTGACCTCCAGCCTGCGCACCAAGTCCAGCTTCTTCCAGGCCGTGTCGTAGGAGCTGGCCAGCACCGTGGCCCGGTTCAGCAGCAGCTGCGGCAGACGGCCTGCCTGCACACCCTGCTCCACCGCCTTCTTGCACAAGTCATCCAGGGGCACCTTGCCCTCGGCGCCAAAGTCCTTGGCCTCCACCTGGGCGATGAGGTCCATGCCCAGGGCGCTGAGGGCGCTGCACATGGCCAGGCCCAGCGCCTGCGTGGGCAGCCCCATCAGCAGCTGCCGCACGAAGTCCGCCGTGAAGGTCTTAATGGGCCGTGCCATCTGGTCCTCGCTGACCACGGCCGCCCCACGGAACACGGTCTTCGTCAGGGGGACTGGCCCGTTGGACGGGGCGGCGTCGTCCGCCGGCGGGAGGCAGGTTCCTGCGAACAGGAATGGGATCGAAACGGCACGGTGACGGATGACCCAAGCAAGGACGGGACATAAGAACCTGAGTGGCCCGATGCGGCTCACCTGCCAAAGTCTGCGCGAAGGAGCCACACAGCCGGAAGAAGTCGCAGATGGCCTGCAGCCGGCGGATGAAGAACACGTCCTCCAGGACCTGCCGCTGCCGGGGGCTGTCGAAGAAGTGGGCCTGGGCCGCACGTGCCTCCCGCAGAACATCCACCTTCCTCCAGGCTGGGGGCACCTCCATCTTGTTCAGCTTTGGGGGGGGGGGGTTATATGTCATGACCTGGGTGTGACAGTTAAATATCCCACTGCGATGTTAACCGGAACCCCCTCCCCCGCCATCCCACTGGGGGCTGACCTTCTCCACTAGGAGGCCGAACGCCGCCTCCAACTGTGTGAACATCCCGTCGAAGGCCACAAGCAGCATCTGGCCAGCGCTCATCTTGGGCGTGTCCTGCACGGCGCCCTCCAGGCTGCGGGGCTGGATGAGCTCTGAGTACTGAGCCCGCAGAACCCTGGGTGAGGGAACCCCCCCCATGTCATTCAACCAGCAGCTTTCAAAGGCTAACACCATTAACATGCTAAAATCTGTACGGTTGCAGACGCCCCGAGGGGACTCAACCCAACAACCTTCAGGTTACCGGGTAACCAACATTTCAGTTTGTTTTCACCACGACAACCTGATTCTAGTCATCAGTTCACCTGCAGCTCAGTTTAATACCCTTAAGTGGCAGTGAACCATGACACGTCCCTGATGGGAGTAACGCATGTGTTTAGCGGGGGCAGGGGGTTTGAGGCTGATTGCATCCCTACCAGTGTTGAAACAAACCTACAACCCGCATTAGTCTGGGGGCCCCGAGGTTTCAGCCACACCAAATATTAATCCCATTCCTTATTTCAGAGGTGCTGAGGAAGCATGGTGTGTTAACTAGCCAGCTAGCTGTGATCTGACTCGACTCGCTAGCTATTTATTATGAGGTTCTGAAACATCTAAGAAAGAGGGTGGGGGGGGGGGGCTGGGGGGGGGGGGGGGGGGGGGGGGCCCAGAGTAACTGAGTGCCACCCCCGACGGTACCTGGTCACATCCAGGTAGTGGGCGTCGGCCTCCTCCTCCAGGCCCATGGCAGTGTTGCGCAGGTGGGCCTGCAGAACCTCGCCCAGCCCCTGCAGGGAGACCCCGTCGGCGCACTGCTCGATGAGGGTCTCCAGCTCGGCCAGCATGGCCTCCAGCGTGCTCTCGCCTTTTAGCACGCAACGCAGGGCCTCGGGCAGGATAATCTGCCTGAAGTTGGTGTTCAGCTCCTGCATAGCGAGACAGAGAGACGGCCGTCAGGCTCCGGATCCGCGAGCGGCTGCCGCGAGGGGCCGGTCCCGGGTGCGAGGCCGACCTGTAGGCAGGTGTAGACGCCGTTGGCCAGGTAGACGGCCTGCAGGCTCTCGGCAGGGCTGGGAACGTCCAGGTCGTGGGGCAGCAACTGGCACTGCTGCAGCAGCTGTGTCAGGGAAAGCACGTTGCCGCTCATGCTGCAGAGCTCCTCCAGGAACCAGGCGCCGTCCCGCGAGGTCAGCTCCACCAGCTGCTCGCCCGCACCCGCCGCCACGCTCTCCATGCCCAGGTTACGCCTGGGGGTGATGTGGACACATTACTGACCATGGCACCACACTAGGTTGGGCACAGACGGGTCCAAACAGGCTCACATACCCCGATCACACCCAGAAGGTATTAATGACCTCAGGAACACAAGCGGGGACTTTGGTAGGTCAAAGATCAAAGATCAGAGTGCTTCCACGTCACCCATATGTCAAAGCTGGCCATCATGGACCCAGGACTCCATCTCAGCGCCACGTCTCGGTACTCGGCACTAACGGGGTGAAACAGGAGCTCTGCCAGCCGTCTGAGAGGCAGAGCTACTGCCAACAGTGTAAGGCGTAACGTCCAAATGGTACTGCATCAGGTCAGCTATAAGCAGGTCCAAACAGGCCTGCACGCCCCAAACACACCCAAAGGGCACTAATGATTACATAAACACGAATCTGTGGGTCTCCAAGCACTAGGTTGGGAAACACTGCTGAAAACCGATGACACAAACGAGTCTGAGGTAGCAGGCCGGCTTTGGTCTCCGGCAAGGACTGACCTGGTGAGGGCGCAGAGCGCCGTGACGATCACTGCAGCCAGGCTCAGCCCGCCGGGCTGCCCATTCTCGGCCAGGAAGCAGCTGATGCAGCGTTCGATCTCCTGCAGCTGCTCCTCACACGTCAGCACGCTGGTGGCCTCCGCCTTCAGCCGCTCGGCGTGTCTCAGGAGCCGCGCGTTGATGTCGGCCGCGTGGTGCTGCAGTGCCATCTCCACGCCGGATAGGAACTGGCAGGTGGCTGGCGACGGCTGGGGGGCGAACTGGACCTCATACCTGGGGGGGAGGGGGAGGGGTTAGCAGCTCACTCCTTACAACAGACAGGTTTTTAGCTGGAGAATCTCCCCCGGAACCTTCAGCCACAGCAACCAAGATGCCCCCACATACCAGCCAATCACAACACAGAGGCTCCAGGCAACACTAACGTGTCAAACGGCCAACATTTCAGGCAGAGCCCCGCAGCATTAGCGATGTGGCCCCCACTCACTGGCGGTAGATGGCCTGACAGCAGTCGGTTGTCATATCGCGCAGCAGCTCCTCCATCCACTGTTTCCAGGCGTAGGCGCGGTGGCGGCGCAGCGCGGCGCGCGGGTACAGCAGGCCCACCGTGCCGTAGCTGTGCAGCTGCTCCAGGCAGCCGCGCAGCAGAGAGCGCCTCTGCTGCAGCAGTGAGCCCGCCTCGGCCTCCAGCTGCTCGCACTGGCTGATCAGGTGGGCCTGGCCAGCGTTCTGCAGGAAGGCTGTCGCCGGGACGTAGCTGGGGGGGCCTGGCGGGGGGGTGGACAGCAGGACAGAGTGTGACATCGCCGCCCACTTGAAGCAGGAACGGGGTTACCAAAAAGTGATTGGCAGCTTGCTAACCCCGCCCACCAGAGCTACAAGGCTTCGTTCAAACAGGTCACTGGTTATTCAGTACAGCGCCTCCTACATGCAGAGGAAGCGCAAAGCAGGGAGAGAGACCCCAGGCTGGGCCTCACCAAGCTCGATGGGGCCATTGATCTCCTGCAGGAGGCTGGCCAGCTGACTGGCCTCCAGGCTGGCAAACGCTGCCTGATACTGCGAGATCCACTGGTCCAGGTCGGTTAGTTTGCTACGGATGGCGTCCTGGACGGTCCTCTGCCGGGACTGCAGCTGGGTGTGCTCCGAGTACCTGGACACGGCGGGAGCCAGTTAACAGGTGGACGTCACAGTTTAGCTATACAATCTTTGGGTCATCACGAAACACTGCTTTGAAAGACTTCTGCTACACTCAGAACTTAGTGCAGTCCGTAAGTGTTTGCACAGTGAGTTCTATTATTCACCATTACACCAGAGCTAAAATAAAACAAAACTGTGCAGGGATTTCATCCATACATCCATTTTCTGTAACAGCGAATGCTGAACCCGCTGCGGCACGCTGTACCTGTGCTCCAGCGTGTGGATGAGGTGCTCGGGGCCCTCAGCATCCTCCAGGAACTCCATCTCCTGCAGCAGCCGGGCCTTCTGCTTCTCCACCTGCGCCAGCTGCTCCTGTAGGCTCATGTACTCGCCCATGGCGGCCTCCAGCTGCGGCAGCACCCCCAGCATCTCGTCGCGGTTTTTAAACCAGTTCACCTGCAGGGGGCGCAAAGTGAGGCGCTGTCAGGCAGGGAAAGGATGGAGGACAGGAGACCCCAGAGGGACACGAGGCTGGACTCACTTTGATTTCTGCCACACGGGAGGAGAAGAGGCTCCTTGTGATGTCACGCTCCATCTCCCGCTTGCTCTGCTTGCTCTCAGCCTGCTGACCACCTCCTCCATACACTGCCCCTGCAAAGCCCACCTCGCCCCCCGCGGTCCAGTCCACCAGGGGGTCGTACACAAAGGCCTCCAACAGGGTCAACAGGGTCTCCCGACCTCTCCGCATCATCTGGATCACCTGAAAGAGAAAGTTCGGCAGATATGTGTCGGGTCAGCCAGCCTCAGCCGCGGAGGCCTTCGGAAGCCCTTCAGCTGGGAGGTGAAGTCGCCCACCTGCTCGCAGGACAGCCTGAAGATACCCTCCACTCCCGTCACACCCAGAGCTGTCTCGATGTTGTGCGTCATGCGGAAGGGAACTTTCTCAGGAACTCTTAGACTTTTGCCTATAATATGAACCACAAGATGAGAATCGGCCCATCTAAGGACACTGTCCATAGCCAGCAGCGTTAGGGTTAGCCTAGCACCGCCTGCTAACCCTAAGATGTGAAACCTTACAATGAAAGCCTGCCCATGATAGGATAGGGTCTAGCTATTATCAGTCCTCCGCGCTCACCTTTCTCGAAGCAGACGTTGTAATCGATGTGCACCACTTCGCCCGTCGTCATGTCAATGAGAACATTGTCCAGATGACGGTCTCCTAGCCCGATGATGTAGCCAACCATCGACATCACAGCGGTAGACCTTGCGTATGACTGAGTGCAAGAAGAGGATGTCAAGCCAACACCACAGACTCAACATCCCCATCCTGACCCCAACCGCAGGCTGGTTTTTACCTGGGTGACCCGCCACCATTCGCTGGGTGTGGCACAGGAGCACCACAGCTCCTTGGCCAGTAGGTTGGGGGGCGTGGCCTCCATCAGCTCACGCAAGACGTCCCTCATCACGCTGAGTGGCCAATCTCTACGCGACACGTCCAGACTCAGCCCCACGGCCTTCAGCGCCGGGCCGATCTTGCTGTAGTAGAGTTCGCTGGGCCTGGGCACCATGGGCAGGTTCTGTGGCTGCTGGAATGAATCCTGGACCTGACCAAGGCCAGACCACACCGTTAGCCTACACAATGTGACACAATAGATTAAATATGCCTGCTTTGGTCAGAGGACCGTAGCAGTTTCTGCAAGGAACCCTCATACCTTCTGGGCCTGGAGGCTGGCCTCTCTCTGCTGCCAGCGCTTATAGAGCCCGAACAGGGGCGTGGCCCCATCCACCCACTGGATGAGGCCCGAGCGGGTGCCCAGAGGCGTGACAGAGTAGTGCCGGGCGTGGAAACGAGGGCTCTCCTGCTGGTTGACCTTGGTAAACATGGTGTTGACAATTGACAGGAACTGCATGATCCTTTCATCCAGGTGCAGGTCCTCCAATCCTGGGGGAGGGAATCATCCAGATGCAAGAGAATGGTACCCGGACCCACAACCACCACCTTCAAATACCACTTGCACACTCAAAGTCTCGCACCTTTAAACAGGTATGGGTAGTTCCGCCCATCAGATCCCAAGAAGTAGAGTTTCTTGGGCTTGGTCTTGGTGGGCAGGATGGTGATGGTGTTGCCCACACTCTGGATGGTGACTGCATCAGTGGCAGACACTTCCCCCGGCAGCGCGATCTCCGTGCTGGCCATGGTGGCCAGACGAGGGCTGATCTCGTCCAGACGCAGAAGGTAGCTGGCCCGCTTCTGGGCCCTCTGCTGCAGGCTTGCCATGATCTAGACCGACAGGCACCATGTGGGTCAGTCAGGGTTCAAGCGAGGGGAGTGGCTTGGGGGTCAAAGGTCATGGGCCTGAGAGGTACCTGCTTGAAGGGCACCCAGCTGCTGGCAGGGTTGGCTGGGTTTAGTGGGTTACGGAGCCTCTCCAGCGCATTGTCAATGGCCTCGCCGTGTGTCTCCTGGAACCAGGCCTCATGCGGCGTCTCGGCAGGCGTTGCCGTGATGTCGCGGACGTGGTCCAGGGCAAACACGATGGGTCGCATCAGGGCCGAGTGCTTCTCACGCATGATGGCCATTTTCTCCTCCCTGAACATCGATCACAATGCTCAGCACCCCTCCTGGAGACCCCTGCTCGCACCCCAATTTGACTCATTCACACCTGGTTAAGACACACTTCTGTGGTTTCACCCCAAGACCCGCCCATAAGACGCTACGGCAAAGAGGCCGATCCCAGCACGCGTACTTGCGGAGTGTGTTGTTGTTCTGAACCCGCTTGACTTCGTCCTCCAGCTGCTGGATCCTGCGCAGGACGTACATGTGCTGCTGCTGGAGGACGCCCAGCCAAAGTTCGTCCCAAAGCAGGGTGACCCTGCGCAGCTCGCCCACCAGCATCTGGACCTGGGGGAGCAGAGGAGGGTCAGCTGGCCTGACCAGTGGTTGGGAGGACGAGTCCTGGGGTGACGGGTTGGGGGTGCATACCTGCAGGACCATGGTGGGGCTGGCAGAAGACAGCTTATCCACGATCTTGCTGTAACAGTCCTGCATCATGGCCTGGTCTTCGCTGGAGCAGAGGCCCAGCTCGTGGCCTTTCCCGCTCTCCTGGGAGGCGGGGGCACTGCCCGCCTCACAGCTACTTCCGCACAGCACTTCCCCCTGGATGTTGCCCAGAAACGTGGGCAGCGCTGATGGCAGCTTGTTGCCTAAGGGTGCAGGAACGTCCCGCGTGGGTCAAAGTGATGTCTAGCATGGTTAATTTAATATGGTGCAGTGTAACTCAGCTCAAAATGTAAACAAAGCAAACAGTTCTGCCTCACGGCGAACGTGACACGGAGCAGTAGCCCGGCATACCCGCAGACTGGGCCTCGCTGCCCAGGGAGATGGAGCCCACGATGGCCGGGTACAGGATGAGGTGGGGCGAGTCGTGGGCCACACGGCACAGCAGGCTACAGATGCTCTGCCGGATGTAGGCCTCCGGATGGTTCAGGCGCGAGAACAGCTGAGGAATGATGCCTGTAGGGGGCAACATGGAGCACATCCACTGTCAGGGGGAGAAACACCTAGAACATTATCGTATATCTCCCAGGTTGACCTGGGATGGCTGGTTGTTGCCGGTTCTGCCCATTACCTCTCCAGGGCGCGGTGGGTGTGGAGGCCAGGCCCAGCTCCAGCTCTTCCCGCAGCTCCCCCGCATGCTTCACCAACAGCCGCAGCAGCCGAAGGGTCGCCATGACGATGACATCGTCGCTGCTCTGCTTGCCACTCTGGCTAGCTAGCAGAAGTTTGGGGTTATCCTCGTCAATTGGTGCCTGGGGGAGGGGGTAACAAGGTAACGAGCTAATTAACCTGACCGGATCGCTGCCATGCGACTTGAATCTCCTAGAGGCTCAGCATGCGGATGCCTCATTCTGCACCCTCCCTCCCAGCTCACCTGGCCGGCATTGAGCTTCAGAAAGGTGAAGTAGGCGCGGCAGGAGACACGGTACAGGCTGAAGATGCGGTCCACCACGCGGCGCCATACTCGGATCAGGCCCTCGGTTACCCCGTCCCCAGCCTCTGCCAGCCACGGGCACGAGCCCAGCAGCTGCCGCCACACCACGTCCACGGTGTCGTCCTCATTGCTCTCCTCATTCTGCAGGGCCATGTCCTCATCCTGAGAAGGGGGCCCAAGCATGGGGGTCAGACCAGCTGGCTCAGGGCTCATCGAGGGTCAGACCATATCAATAGTGAGTCACCAGACATGCGGCCCCCAGCGGGGGAGGGGGGTTACCTGAATTCCCGCTGGACGACACAAAGCCTGGCCCAGGATGCTGAATATGGTCTCCTTGTCTTCACTGGTGGTGCATGCTGGAAGCAGAGCTTCAATTTCCTGTTTCTCCTCCGGAAGCAGTGGAACACCTTCTCCTTGGCTGGGTAGAGGAAGGGTGCAGAAACCTAAAGTTTAAACGGCGTTCCCTAAAAGGAACCTGATCCATGGAGGTCCCCCTGCCGCCTTAAAACGTGTTCCCATGAAGACACCCACCTGCCGTTGTCAGCCACCTTCCGCCCCCACCGGTAGGCCCAGCTGGCCAGGGCGGCCCAGGACTTGGCTACCTCCGGGGCCTGGGAAGCTGAGAGCTGGTAAAGCTGCCCAAGGACAAGGTCAGGTTCCCCAACACCGACGCTCACTGCCCAAACGAAAAGGCCAACACGTTTAGGCGGACAGCAGCACACTGGGGAAAACCCCCCCCAGGGAGGAAGCCATATTTACCAGTGGTCTCGGCCGTGATATGCGGCAGGCCTTGGTCCTCCAGTGGGAGTTCCAGCAGGGCGGCGATGTTGCGGCCCAGTGGTGGCAGCACAGAGAGCCCCGAGGAAGCCCTCTTCACTACCTGCTTCAGGTGAGCCGTCATGTCCTTCCAGTCGGCAAGGAGCCACTTGCAGAGCGTGAGCACAGCGCGGCAGGCAGCCCGCTCGCTCTTGCCGGCGCGACAGTAGGACAGCGCACTAGCGCTCAGCATCTCCATTGCCACGGCAGACTGGCCTGGGGGGGGCAAGGTGAAGGGGGGGGGGGGGAAATCAGGTCAGAAACCTCTGATGGGGGCCCCCTGGAGTGACATTTTGAGTCCCCAGAAAGAACAAAGTCACCAGCCCATCCCCCACTGACCTGCCGTGAAGAGCACCTTGGCCTTCTCCAGCTCCAGCTCGGACCCCCACTTCTCACCCACACTGCCTTCCAAGGACAGGCTCTCAAACAGGCGCACCAGGTCCTGGCAGTCAGGTTCCGCGGCAGTGCCACACTGGCTGAGGAGTCGCGCGGCCAGGCCCACGTTGGCCCGCTTGCGAGCGAACTTGACGGCCATCAGCCGCAGTTCCATCAGGTGAGAGTCCACAGGAGAGCAGGGGCCTGGTTTGGGGGGAAGGGAGCCAAGTCTAAGGGCGGGGGGGAGCCAGAGGGGGGGAATCTCATCATGGGAGGGGCTACAGGGACGTACCTTTGAGCTGGAGAAAGAGGCGCTGCTGGAAAGCGGTGTAGCGGAGGGCATGGAGCCAGGGCTGGACGTTTTGTTGCTTACAGCTGCTCAGGGCCTGGCTGTACAGCGGGATCAAGCAGTCCTGGGGGGCAACAGGGAAGGGCAGTGTCAGTGTCACCATCGGCGACACAAACGCTTAGTGCCAGCGAGGTCCTAGGGCACACCTCGGGGGCCAGCTGGCCGGACAGGCACTGCTCCAGGGTGTTCGCACAGTGTAGCTGCAGTACCCCGACCACAGGCAGAGAGCCACAGAGAGCCAGTGTTGACACACGCAGTGGGCCCAGACAGATCCGGCCCGTCTGCTTCAGGTACCTCAGCAGGTTCCTGCAGTGAGAGACCAGCAGTCAGGCACAGGGCAAGGGGCACAGGGCAAGGGGCACAGGGCAAGGGGCACAGGGCAAGGGGCACAGGGCAAGGGGCACAGGGCAAGGGGCACAGGGCAAGGGGCACAGCGTGTCCATCTGTCTGTCAGACAGAGAGAGACAGACGGCACACCTGTAGAACTGTTCATAACAGATGTTAAAATTATGGACTGCCTTACATGTAGAAGGGCCGTCATGCCATATAAAAACAATGAGCCACACAGTATCACGCTTTCAGGATGTTGAGAGTTATCTGCAGCTTCTATTTACAAACTTCCTTTAAGGTCTAACAGCATGACCCATAACATCAGCATGCTATGGTGCCTGCTACCCTAAACACCATAAACTCCCTTTGCTGGTGCTGTCACAAATAACAGAGGCCAGAACAGCCCAGGTCCCTATCCGATTGAGTGCCGTCTTCAGAACCCAGGTCGCTCACGGACAGGCCTATGGGTAACTCCGCCCTCAGTACCCAGCTCCCCCCACCCCTGGCACTCACTCGGATGTGGGTCCCGCCTTCTGCTCCAGCTCGTAGATCCCCAGGGCTCCCCGGAGAAGCTGCACCTCGATGGCCTTCTGAAGCTCTGTGGGATCTGGGCTCAGTGCTGCCGGAAGCAGCCGCTTCAGGTCTGAGGACAGGGGGAGGGCGGCAGGGGTCAGGCACCAGCGTCCCCACCCCCGGCACTGGATCTGTAAGCGACGGAAAGCGCCGGTGTACCTGGTTTATCCCGGGAGGCAGAGTTCAGGAGGCCGAAGTCGTCACCCGGAAGCAGCTCAAGCTGGGAGCGGCACTCTGCAAAGTCGGCCTCCTCAAAGCTGCTTAAGGCCCTGGAGAGAGCGAGTGGGGAGTAAACCAGGGGGAAACACACCCTTAAGGGTGTGGGGGGCTCGCTCACACACACACACACACACACACACACACACACACACACAAACACACACAAGCCCATGGCGCTCCACCCACCTGACGTAGTTAAAGTCGGTCTTGAGGCTGACGGCGGCTCCAGCAGTGGTCTTCTTGAGTGCAGCGCAGCAGGCCTGCCACTGCAGCGCGGCAGGCCAGTCGCCCAGCGCCATGTAGCACTCGCACGCCTTGTTGGCCAGGAAGTTGAGCACGTCGTTGGAGCAGTCGCTGGGCTTCAGCAGCACCGTCTTCCTGGCGTCACCTGGAAAAGCGCGCTGGCATCAGGGCCTGCATCCTAGCTCTCTGCACGGGCCCCTGCCGGCCCCGGTCCCGGTCCCTTACCGTTGGCGTGCTTGGGGCTGGAGGTGGCGGAGGCCTTCAGGAACGCCCCGTCGAAGCCCTTGATAGAGCAGTCGATCCCGGAGATGGAGGACAGCTGCTCCTGGTACTCCTGCGCTGCCCTCTCAAAGCTGTGAGCACAGGGGAAGAGGGTGAGCCAGCGGCGGTGACGCCCTCGGCATGGGGGAAGGGGGCACGGCGATGGGCAGCAGCCGGCTCACCGTCCCTCGGCCTGTAAGGCCACAGAGCCCACCCAGCCGAGGCCCCTGCCCGCGTGCACCGTGCTCCAGGCAGCTAGGCCCTGGATGGCCTCGGGGCAGCGCAGCTCGCAAAGGGCTTCAACCAGCATCACTACGGGCACCTCCATCTCCGCAGCCTAGGGGGGAGGGGACAGACACGGCCTCCAGGATGTTAGGACATCCACAGACAGACATGCACAGACAGATCTGGGGCGTTCCGAAAGCCTCACCGGGGCACTGCCGCTCTTCATTTCAGCGAGCAGGTCGAACCCGTGCCGCACCGTGACGGCCGGCTGGCCCGAGAGCAGCCCCACGCGCATCAGCGCCATGCGGATCCGGGTCAGCCAGTCCTGGCACGTCTGCCGGTTGGTGTAGAAGAAGGTTCTGATGCCCTGAGACACAAAACAAGAAGCCCGTCAAGTAAAAGACCGTTACCATTAACACACCGTTACCATTAACACACCGTTACCATTAACACAACGTGCGGATTAATAACGGCTAACTGCCAAATACACAGCCTGAAGACAAATCATTATACAGAAACACCAAAGATAATCTTCTGTGCCAGTTCCCGATTCAGAAGAGACCAGCAATCTCCTGGGTAAAAATGGATTTGTGGACTGTTCGCATTTCCATCTTTTCCAGGTTTTTTACGCTCTGTGACATTAGCCTGCGCAGACTAGAAGGACGACGCATCTGAAAGCAAAGCCCAGAGCGCCGTGGAGGACCCACCTTAGGTGGTGCTGTCAGCGCATTGGCACAGCCCTCATAGGCGTTGTACATGAGCTTCTCCAGGTTTTCCAGGAACTGGAGCAGCAAGGTGAGCCGCAGCTGGTTGGTGTGGTGGCCCTCGTCGCTCTCGGCCCCACTCCACTGGCTCAGCTCCTGCTCCGGGTTCAGACTGTGGGCTGCCAGGCTCCGGATCATCCCTAGGGGCCAAGATCGGGCTTAAAAGGTCAGACGTGGCACTACCCTCAGCAGACGGTGCAGCATCCTATTGGCTGCTACAAGTAGTAGATATTTTTTAACCCAGAATCCCCTTGTGAAGGGCGACGGTGCGCGAGCCGCCGTGGAGCTCACCCTCGATCGTCTGGAAGGTGTCCTGGGCACGGCCCAGCGGCGTGCGCAGTTTGGACAGCACAGTGAACTGCGCCGCCTCCCAGGTGACCCACTGCCAGAGCACGGCGTCGGCACGGAGCAGCACCCGCGGCACGGCCGGCGCCTCCCGCCTGTCCAGGCGCTGGCAGCTGTGGAAGAGCCGCTCCAGCCAGGGTTCCTTCCTGTGGGAGGGGGGGGTTGCACCATGTCAAGCTGCTGGAGGGTGGACCCAACATGCCCCACCCCATACCCTAAGCCACACCCCCTCTCACCCAAAACCGCGCCTCTTTACCCACCCAACACGGTGCACGGTCCCATACAGGATGAAGCTGATGAGGTCGGAGAAGTCCTGCGGGTGGAAGGTGTTGCTGGGGGCCTTGCTCATGTGATGCCGGATGGCCAGGGAGATCTCCTGCACCTCAGGGTGCCCATGGTTACTGGAGGGAGGGAGGGAGGGAGGGAGGGAGGGGGAGGCACGTTTCCCAATTAAAACCAGCAACACACACTGAACATCCAAACTGGTGTTTAGGGCCGAAGTCCTTCTAGAGTTCTTCACGGGGAAGGAGAGCAGTCACCTCAGGGTCACGTCAAGGGGAATGGTCTTCAGAAGCTTCCCGAAGGCCTGCCGGACTCGAACAGAGTTGTGGACCAGCTGCACCCGGCACAAATCAATACACCTGTAGGGAGGGAGAGGGGCTTGTCACGCCCCATCTAGAACGGCCCGGTACCAACCGGAAATGGACTGGATGGCGGCTATGCTCAGCACCTCTGCTGCAGCTCGGGGGTCAGGGATGACGACAGCACATGGAGGCTGCTGCAGGTCTGCAAGCAGATTGCGGCGTCCTCATTCAGGGCTGGGGGGGGGAGAGAAGGCAGAGAGGGGTGAGGGGCTGACACAGCGGGGGCAGGGCCTATGGCCTGCGGGCACAGGCAGTGCAGCAGCCTCACAGTTAGACAGCAGGCCTTTGCAGAAGCGGTGGAAGGACGGCAGGGCGAAGAGGGGGGAGTAGGTGTCGCACTTCTTCATGAGCAGGGACACCTCCAGTGCCCATGTGAGGAGCAACTTCCTGTAGGGACAGGAAGTCCAGCAGGTCAGTCACCAGGGAAAACGGGGGAGGCTGAAATGAGGCACTGGGGGGCAGGGAAGGGGAAGCACCTTGAATCGGTGTTGAGGAGCTCTTTGCTCAAGAGCATCCCCAAAAGGTTGAGAAGAGTGCTGAAATGCTTCTTGGTAGCCGTGGTGACGGTGCTGATGACAGCGCCATCAAACAGGGAGGGCGAGGAGGAGCTCAGGCTGCTGGAGATGAAGTGGTCGTGTCTGTGGGACGGGGAGGGGGTTACTGGTGCACGCTGGGGGGGTTACCGGGGCCCCGGTCTGCATGCGAGATAAACACGGGCATCTCGTACCTGGTGCAGTGCGAGTAGAGGGTATACAAGACAGCATACTGCACCGCAGGGTGGTATACGGCCAGATCCGAATGGACCACCAGCAGGTTCTGGCTGAGCAGTGTGAACACAGTGGGCGAAAGTGCCCACATCTGAAGGCGAGCAGACGGACACATGAGGATGTGGCACGTGATAAGCCACACATTTTCCAAGCAGAAAAACCTCTCTGATGACATGACACACCCATCCAATAAGGCTGCCCTCTCACTACTGCCACCAAGTGGGGATGGGAAGTACTACAGCATGATAGCTACATGTGACGAGCCAGAGCGGCGACAGCGCACCCACCCCGATGAGGGAGTTCTTGGTGTTGCCGATGGTGGTGAGCGCGCTCAGGCTGAAGATGAGCACGAACTCGGCGCGCTCAGGGGCCAGGCGCGCCTCAGCGAAGGCGGTGTGCTGGATGTTGGCGTTGGCGGCGGGCAGCGCCAGCGGGAGCAGCAGGCTGTCCAGGGCACAGGCCACCTCGCCCAGTACCAGCTTGTAGGCCGCCTCCAGCAGGGGGATGTTCTTCAGGCAGAGGACCGCCTGGTAAACTCCCTGGGCCGCCACCACCACCTGTGGATGCACAGACACCATCACAGATGGCCTCCCCACACCGTAACTGCGGCCTAGGGAGGCCCCACCACCCCCACCCTGGCCCCACCATACCTCCTTCTCTCTGTGGAAGCGCAGCTCCAGCAGTTGAGACTCTGGGGCCAGAAGCTTCTCCACAAAGTGTGCCGGCAGCTTGTTGTTAATCTGGTCCACGATCTGGAACAAATGACCCCAGGCTCAGTTTTTACTGGGGAGGGATTGACTGGGAGCCCCAGTGACACACCACCCCTGGTGGCTCCTGATGGCTTTACCCCGAGAGCAGCAGTCTTTGCCACCACTCAGAGCCCATGGTTTGTGGCCCCCTGCTGGCCACAAGCAGTCACTACAGGTACAGGAGATTTTTTTTTTTTTTTTTTAAGACCCAGGAAATAAACGCAAGCAGGCTGTGCCCCCAGGGTGCGAGCCCCGCCTCACCAGCGTGAGCAGGTGCAGCACAGCCACGCAGTGCTCTGGCCCACAGGCCCGGCAGCTGTCCAGCTGGTCCAGGCCGTAGGCGATGACGGCGTCGGTGAGGCGGCCACCCGACTCTGTGCTGTGCAACAGCACACACACGCACTCGTTGGCCGCCGTCAGCACGGGCTCCGAGAACAGGGCCTGGCGGGCCGTGGTGACGCAGGACAGCACCCGGTTCAGGACCTGGGGGACGAGGCAGGGTCAGCATATAGGGTCCGACCGAGCGGCCGCATCGGCGGGGTTCATCCGGGGCAGGGGGGGGGGGTCCTCACATCCGTGACGTAGGCCTCGGTGATGGGGGGGCCGCGGATGGGGTGGAAGCGCTCGCCAATGCTGCGCACCACCGTGCTGAAGACCCGCAACAGGGCCGCCAGCTTGGGCAGCGACACAGAGGGAGGTGGGACGTCTTCATCCGGGGTCTCCCCCGACGCCACATGGCTCAGGTCCTGCAGGGGGGGTCACAGGGGGACGTCAAGCAAAACGGCAGTGGGGGCCACGAGCTACCAGCCCCAGAACCGGCCCAATTCTCCTATACCAGGGGCATCACACTCCATTCCTGGAGGGCCGGAGCCCTGTGTAGCTTAGTTCTTTCCCAGTTCCACCACAAATGATTCAGCTCAAGAGCTGTGTGGTAATTAGCACAAGGATTTAAATCAGGTGTGTTAAATGAGGGGAAACCCAAAATCGTGCAGAAGTTTGACACCCTGGTCCTACATGCTTCACCACTGCAAAAACTCACCCAGACAAAATCATTGCTCACAAGGACTGATTTTCAGTTGGTGGGTCTCGACCCAAAAGTGGCCCGTTCACTTTAAAAGTGAACGTCGAATATTGAACCCCGCCGTCAAGTGGAAATTTCAGCCGTTTCTTTATGACTAATGAAAATTGTTGGTCCAGGGGCTAAACCACTTGATAACTTCAGCTTTAAAAAAAAACATTTAGCAGTATTCAGATTACAGGTCTCCTCAACCATGACGCCCCCAACTGTCCTGTGGATCTCCACACAAAACTAACTAACTCGGAAATCAGAGCAGCCATCCGCACTTATCCTTCATGCCAGCTCACCTCTGCATAAGCCTCCATGTCCTCCAGAAACTGTCCCAGCAGTGTGGTGGAAAATGTCAGGTCGGCCACCCAGAACTGCTCCAGGCTCTGAAGCCAGCCTGCCAGAGAGGGAGGGCCCGATCAGCGCGCCGCCAGTGCCCCCCAGAGGACAGCAACTGCAAGGGGTGCTGCTCACCTGACACCTGGATCGTGAGCGACTGCTTCTGCGTGTGATCGATGTGCCAGCCGACAAGGATGTCCACGGTGTCCTGGAGGGGGACAGCAGTGTGAGAGCCAGCTGGGGGGGCAGGGGCTTACCCGCTTACCCGGAAGTTGGCGCTGAAGATGTGGGGGGGCACAGGGGCTTGCCGGAGCAGACCTACCCGGAAGTTGGCGCTGAAGATGTGGGGGTAGCACCGAGCCACCAGCAGGATGCACTTGACGCTCTGGCACAGCAGCTCTGGAGTGTCCAGGTTCTCCAAGATGGACTGCAGGCTGCTCATGACCAGCTGCTCACGGGAAGACACACACACATCCTTCACCTCCACCACTGGCCAATCCAAACCCTCCCCACAGCCGTGACCTCAACCCTGGGACACTGTGCAGCAAGCTTGAGCTTTAACCTTTTGTCCAGCTGTATAACTGAGCGAAGATGACTGATCTGTCAGCTGAGCAGCTGAGCTTGGAGCGTAACGGGCAAATTTAACGGTGGCAGGCGACATATCGCGCCTGCGCAATAACCACCAGGGCTTCAGATGAGGGCTTTTCGGTACAATACAGATGTTTATTTACGCCCACAATTTGGTAAGCAGATTAGTCGTACGGCTAAAATATTAGTGAAGCATTTTATGACACCTAAGAGTTAGTAATCAGTATATATTCAGCATTGTTGACTGTGTGTTTGACTTTAAGCTGCAAAAATTACCACCACGCAAGACGTGTTTTTACCTTGTTTATCTACAAGAT